TTTTTTTTTTTTTTTTTTTTTTCGCCATACGGAAACAAAAATGATATGCATGAAAAAGGTTTGAGTGTGCTTATGAGGAGATGGAATGACTTCGATTTGTATGCAAATTTTCTTTTATGTTTCAAGATGGCTCGTTTACATACAATCTTTCTGGTATGCTGTGAGGTTCAATGTTTAGTATGTTGGAGGAATATTTCATAGGGAAGTTGGAAATCAAGGAAGTTATTTTGACCATTTTCCCTACTATGTGGAGGTTGTTATTATTGTGAACTACAAGTGAGCAGAAGAAAGAAGAAAGCAAAATCACCATCTAATTCATAAAGTATCATAGAATCAATTAGATGCAATATTAATACAGTTTCAAGTACGTGGAAGAGTTTTGCTTAACGGATAGTTTGTATACTCGACAATAGACATCGAATAGAAAATGTGATCTAAAATCTGCAATTTGCTAGATTTCAGGTGTATCTGTTTCAAGTTTTATATTACTAGTAACATACAATTAGAGATACATCTTGATTGGTTTGCATCATATGCTAGCAGCAAAGATCTTGCGAAGAGAAACTCTCAACACGAGCCTAAAAGGACAGCTTGCAACCCTTCTTCTGGATCTCGTTAGCTGATCTTTCTGTCCAAGTTTTTGTAAGCTCATTTAGAGCTCCATAGGAAAGCTGATTCAGTGTCCGTTTTTCTGTCTGTACACTATGTGTTCATGCATAAAACACAACGCTTTCCTTCTGTGTTGGATGGTGGGATTATTTTCAGTTTCACTCTTCGGCTGATTACTGAATTCTAAAACTGCTCGATCAATGAGAGATGATATAAAACACTCAACAACTACTTGTCGCGCCAAATCCCTGAAGATGTTTGCAGTAACTCCTTTTCACGGTACGTGTTGATTGAATTCCCTCCCTTCCTTCCTTGCAGTGCATTGTTAGAACTCGAAAATGTCTCCTCTTCTAAGTGTTAGTCTTCTTCCTTTCACCGTGCCTGGTGACTGAGATTTGCTAAATAAGTCGGATTTTTGGGGGAAAATTCACTCATGGACTGAATAAATGAAGTGCCACTCGAGGGGCAATAATCAAATGGCCATTTTTTTTTTTT